CGCTCGACGGCGGGCCTGGGGTCCCGTTCCAGGCCCTTGGATGCCCCGCTGCGAGGGCAACGGCTCCCGCTCGACGCTTCCTCACAACCCAACATGCCCTGTGGGGCGTAATTGGCTTCGGGCGCTTCCTCTTCCGACCCCCTTCTGCTCCTTCGGGGTGGGGCTGGTGAAAAAAAACACCTTTCGCCCACCGGACCTGCCACAAACCCGTGACACTGCCAACACCCCCCGACCTTCCCTGGCAACAAACCATGCAAAATGCTTATTGCACCAAAATCTGGATCATGCGCGGACGCCCCGCGATTACGCTTCACTGAATTCTGACAGGTGCGGCGGGGGTGCTGGCAGATTGCCTGCTGCATGCGATGCCAACACCACCCCCACCTTTCCTTGCACCAAAACGTTAGGAGCGAATCTTGCACCAACATCTGGATCACGCGCGGACGCCCCGCCATCACTTCGCCTTGGTTTCTGACAGGTGCGGCGGGGGTGTCGGCATATTTCCTGCTGTGCGCAATGACAACACACCCCCACCATCCCCTGCAAAATGCACAATGCCAAATGCACTCTGCACCAAAATCTGCACCATGCGCGGGCGCCCCACGATCACTTCGCAGTGGCTCTGGACAGGGACAGCGGGGGGGGGGGGGCGGCGTGTTGCCTGCTGCTACGTGCAGGCCACACATGCCCCCTTGTCATCCGCAAGCCAAGACGCACAGGCCGCACTCTGCCAGGGACGGCGGGGCGGGGGCGGCGCAGTGCCCGCGGCGTGCAGGACCGCCAAATCGCTGTCAAGAGCGGATGCAGCATCACTGCGGGAGCACGTGCACAGCACACAGCGCTGGAACCCCCATCGTTTCCGTGCATCGCCTTTTGGCAGAGAGGGTGGGGGGCAGGGCGAGATGCTGCCCCCCATATGCGGCGCACCCAGTGCGCGCGGCGCACCCTGGCACGTGCGGCGCACCTCCCGGGCGTTTCACGCACCTTGCTGGCGTCTGCAGTGCGGCCTCTGCCTCCTCCTCCCCCCTCCCCCCTCCTCCCCCTCCTCCTCCTCCTCCTCCTCCCCCTCCTCCTCCCCCTCCTCCTCCTCCTCCTCCTCCTCCTCCTCCTCCTCCTCCTCCTCCTCCTCCTCCTCCCACCTCCTCCTCCTCCTCCTTCTGTTCCTCCTCCTCCTCTTCTCTGCTGAGACTCGGGTGCTAGTTGAGGGCGGGCGGGAAGGACCGAGACAGCCCGCGGCGTTCCCGCTGGGAGCGTGACCCCTGTCTACCCCCATCCACCTGGGTCTCAACGAGAGGGGCGAAGAGCGGTCAGAGCGCCCAAGATGGTTCCATGAGGGCCACAGAGAGCTCACTATGAACAAACCTACAAGAATTCTTACGTTATCCTGAATGCCTTAAGCTGGCCGTCGAGATGCCTCCAAACGGCCCCAAAGAGCCGCCCCAATACGGCCTCAAATGGCAACGGAGCTTCCCGAATGATGCCAGAGTCCTTGTCAAAACCTCCAGGTGCTCCCAGGCGCTCTCAAGCGCTCCCAGGCGCTCCCAGGCGCTCCCGACAACAATTGGCGCTTGCAATCTCGACGACAACAACAACGTTCAACAAGCTTCGTTGACCTTCATTTGTTTCTCCCCCTCCGTGGTGCCCGCCTTCGTAGAACGCCTGTAAGGAGTGTGAGGAAACATCCGACCAGGGCACGTGAGAGCAAATCGCGAAGAATTGTCGAGCGGTAGCCGTTATCGCCGTCGCCGGAAAAAGCCGAAGCCCTGCAAATGGGAGGGCAAAGAACTAAGGAATGATGAATTGAACAGGGACCGACCGTATCGGCATTCCTACATTCCTACCACGAGATGATCTTAGAACCCCCACATGTTCTGAAGACAGCAACAATGTTCTTAGAACATAAGCCCAATGTGTTAAAACAAGACAGTCCCAGCCTGAATTGTTCTAAGAACATTTTGTGGAACCACAAAAGGTTCTTAGAACATTTTTGGTAGGCCTACTGGGATCACCACTGCGCTCCCTTTCTGGATAGGGGAGTACTATCCTGGTTAGCAGGCGCGATTTCCAAGATAACCCCGAAGATACTTATCCTGGTTCGAAGCAGGTTAGCAGCATTTGTCCTCCTCATTTCGCTCCCCCGCCTCCTCCTCTTCCTCTCTCGTCCCCACGTCCCCCCCCCGTCGTCTTCTTTCTTCTCTCCTCCTCCCTTCCCCCCTGAGGCGTCGTTCTTCTCAATGCACCCGTTCGCTGACGTTCAAAGCAATGCCTCCCACACGAAAAATTAGGAAACTGTATCCTGGAGGCGGTGGTCCTATACATTTTCGAAGCTAAGTTTCAAATCGCATTTACATGGAAGCAACTCTGAACTTTGGTGGCAGCAGTACGCACATTGCACCACTAGCTGGGATAATCCGATACACGCACGGCTCTAAAATCTGGCGAGAAGAAATCAAAATGGTCTCGCACGTGTCTGCACACGTGGTGCACTGGGTTTTTCTCTGGATGATCTTCCAAATAGAAAGGCAAGTGACACGCTCCGAACCAAGTTGCACATGGAACTTTGCCCTCCCCATGTAAACTGACACATTTGATTGAGACGCGACAACATCATTCAATTGCACTATTCTTGAATCAGCTGAGACGCCCTTCGATGTGAACACGCCGATGTCCACTGGCACTGAAACAAAGTCAGACAGAGCTGCAAGAAACCGCTTTGAAAGCTTCTTCTTGGCAGCGAGAAATACACACCAGTTCGAGGGACGGCCAAGACATACAACGATTGACAAGTTATTGACTCCACGAGGCCTTTCTCAAAAGACTTGGTGTTGCAATGGTCTCCTGCAATCCTCTGGCAAGTCTTGTGCAGGCGTTCCATGACGAATGTGCTGAGCAGGAGCTCAACATCCTCTACGTGCTTTGGCAAATGCACCGCAAAATGCGACTTCGGAATCCGGCATTCCAGCAAGTATGCGGCTTGCTGAGCGTCCAAGCGTTCCGAAACAAGCCGGTTCAACAGTGAGTGAGGCACAATACCAGAATTCACGCATATCGAAGCATCCATCACCTTCGCCAATCGAATGAAACTGGCAACCTCTGCACCCAACACGCCCAATTGAAGTATGTACTATTCCGGCGCCGACCCGCCTGGAGATCCAGATGCGAAGAGTTGTTTGCCATGAGCGCATACAGACGGCCATCTCCGCTCAAGGAAATATGAATGCATCTCAGAAGCATTCGCATGGATTCGCAACCGCCCGGATAAGCACCCCATCCCCTTCACCGCTATCCGCCCCCACCAGGCACGTGTGCATCCAGTCCAACATCCAGCTCGATGCCAACTTAAGGTTGAAGCCTCGATCGAGCAGCGGGCTCTCGGGGCAATAGTTGAAGCCTAATTGGGTCTCTAATTTCCCGAGTCGGGCCGCTGAAAGTAATGGTGCACCATGCGCTAGCTTTTCCGGGATGGCTCTCAACTCCGAGTCCGAATGCAGCTCGAAAGATGCGAGCGAAGTCGCCGAGGATGGGACCAGCCACTTCTTGTCATCACTTCGTAGCCAAGGCGACCACCACGCCACGCAATTCCGACACAACGGGCGCACATTGTGCCCCTATGCTCCTTTGCATCCGAAGGCGAACTTGAAGGCCCTCTCGCCCTGCGCGCAGATGCCGAGTTGGCCAAACACGGGTTGCACCACCCCACCTCCGAGATCCAATGATGCACCTTGGCGAAGATCGATTAGCGAATCAGGCTGGCCGACAAAAATCGAAGACATTATTGGTCAGTTGGGAAAGCTTGCCGGGGAGTTTCGCTACCTGGAACGAGTGGGGCCACCAACGCCCCAATGCCCAAGCCAATGCGCAAACCACACATACACCCCAAACGTCTACACATAAACAACCAATGAACCCTATAATATGGCAGTGGGCTTGCAGCTTTGGGGCCCCGTCAGCCTCTGACGATCTCACAAGCAGTGCAGCGTGTACCAGTTGTACTCAGATGCTAAAACTAGGAAGCCATACTCACTGATAGTCCAATAGCCACACTCTGTTTTCCTGAGGTTAGAGTGGGTCAAGGGGCTGCCTGGCACTATTTCGTCGCAGCACCGCGCCAATCTCACTCGGTTGTTGCAGCGCTCCAGCGTTGACAACAGAAGGCTCCTGAATTCCGACGCCCTCTGGGCCGCTGCCTCTAGGTGCCCGGGGGGGTGTTGGATCCAAATTTTGACACCTCCAACTTGGATGCACTGGTTGAGCGGCCCAAACGAGGTCGCCTGATATGCCAGCGCTTGCCTGTCGCAAGCGATGGGTGAGCACGAAATATGTTCAGGCAGATTCTCCTCGCCCACGAGGCGCAACACATCGTGCAACGCTGGTGCCGCTAAGTGCGATGTGCGACCAAAGTCCGATTGCCGCAGCGTCTTGCGTGGCGGCTCAGCCGAACGCGCTGCCATCTCGAGAGAGAGAGAGAGAGAGAGAGAGAGAGAGAGAGAGATGGCTACGGAAAGACAAGCACACGTCGGAGCAGCGTTGGGTCGCATTATTTTGTTTGACGTTTGCCCCCCCCCCCCCCCCCTCCCCTATGCTCAGTAGATGGCATGGGGTGCGCAAGACAATGTTCAGCTCAGCTGTTCCGCATATTGCTCCGCATCCTCTTCCTCCTCATCCTTGTCCTGCCCCTCGTCATCCTCATTCCCCTCCTCCTCCTCACCTCCGCCTCTCCTCCCCCTCCTCCTTGTAGCAAGGCTCGTGCGATAGAGGCTTCGGCCTCCCTTCGGTTCATCATCTGCCCTTGCGCTTACCGTATTATTGCTGCTGCAAAGCTCGAGTGTTGTTCAGTGCGTCGTGGCAGCGATAAGAAGTGTTCGTCGGGCTGGGGCGTGGGAGGGGACCGACTTTCGACTGTCAACTTTTTCGGGGCCCCCGAAGAATGCGCCCCTGGTGGGCAAACCCCGATCTCACGCGCGCGTGCGAAAAGCCCAGGGACACTGCCTAACACGCTGTCACCAGACAGCGTTCGCACAGCACTCAGAAGCTGGCCTGGATTGCGTTCGGTCAACCGTGGACCGACTGATATAGACCCCTGGCGGCAGCGTATGCCTCAAGACCGGCGCAACGAATCTCGTCCTTGGCCATGCCCTCTGCCTTGGCTTTCTTCCTGGCGTGGGAATACACCCGATGCAGAGAGTTCTTGTGCGAGCACCCCTCGATGAAGTCAGCGTGCAGGACGTCCTTGTAGACCCGCTTGCACCTCGCTCCTTTGGCCGGGGGCACACGCGGGCAACGCAGCCTCGAATCCAACGCCTCCGTGGGAATAATTTGCCAAGACAGGTCCGCGTGCCGCCACCTGCGCGGCGCCCGAGACACATCCCAGCATGCTCTTCCGACGGCGAGGTCAAATTCGACGTTGCTGCGCTTCCAACGCAAGCGGGCGCAGCTCGCGCGAACCCCAAGGGCCCATGGAACTGGAACGCCACATGTTTTTCCGCCGATTCAGGTTCTTATGTTTCCCAAGCTGGGTTTCGAGGTGGTGCAAAAGAAGCGCTGGCCCGCAGTTCTAGGGGGGCCGCGGCAGGGCGCTTGTGAGCGGCCTTCTTGCCCTTGGCCATGCCGGTTGCCTTGGCCGATACTTTGACGGCTGCCTCGGCGTTGGGTGTAGCGCCCGAAGGCCGCTTCTTGCATGACTTCATGATCGCCTTCATCGGCCGCCTAACGCCAGTCATCTCATCGACGGCGCCCTGAGCTGCCTCAGCTTGGCCAGCGGACTCGTGACTCAGACGACCCAGAGCCTCATCAGAGCCACCAGGAGTTCCGACATCCAAGTCGCCTGTATTAGGGCTACCACCACCGCTGCTAGGAGGTGGAGGGCCAGGGGCCTGCAGAAGGCAGAAGGGGCCACGTACTTCGGCGGCGGCAAGCCAGGGCCGAGATCGGCATGACCACCACCTCGGAGAATTGCAGACTGACCGCCGCCTGGGACTCCTCCAGCAGGAAGTCCTTGGGCGGCATGTCCACCAAGGCCTCCAGCGCGCCCCCCAGGAAAGACGCGTGAGGATAAAGCCCAGGCGGAGGCCACGTAGGAGCAGCCAGGGGCGGCGGTGCCGAACTTTGGCCACGGGAACTCGGGCAAGGCAGCGCTGCATGCCCTCCATGACAGCCATGCGCATGAGCACGCGCACCAGGACGTCCAGGGTGAAGCCCAGGCGCCTTCGGCATATGAATGCTCGCGTTGAGCATGTCGATCGCTGCGGCCAGTCCGTGGCTTTCGGGTGTTCCGCTCGAGCTCCCGACTCCTGGCCTGAAGTCGGAGTGGTTGTTCCTGTACACCATCCCAAGGACAATTGAGATGCAACGTTGCGCCAGATCAGTATCGGGAGGAGGTGGCACAGGGGGCTCGATGCCGTAGGCGTGCGTGTACGTCGCATCCTGCAAATGCTCTGGACCTGTTGGGTCGGTTGAGATGTGCTGAAAGGGCCATGGGACCATGCTCTTGTCGTAGGACTTGATTGTGTCACGGATCCGATGGCAGACTCGCTGCTTCTCCTTGGCGTCGTTCATGATTGACATATCAGGGGGGAAGCTGCATGCCATCGCCAAGGCCCGAGCTTGTTTGCACAAGTCATTCGGCGGGCATGTGACTCCCACCTTAAACAATCTCATGGCGATGCACTGGACCTTGGCCTCGATGCCCCAGTTGGCATCCTGTAATACGTTCCACTCCTTCGCAGTGAGCCAGTAAAGGAGGTGTCCAAGTCCTGCGTGTCACGATTAGTCTCTTTCGACGTCCTCCGAGTCACGACGCCTGAGCGCGCTCCTGTTGGACTCGGACCACGGCCCAGCCAATGTTTCATTTGTGATCTTGATGCCGCAGTCCATGGAGAGACCACGAGCCGACTGAATGTGACCGATCTCCTGTATGGTTTGGTTGTCCATCAAAGTCTCCCTGTTCATGCCGCAGGTGATCTGCGCCTGCATGAACGCGTTGCGTTGCCGCAGCGCGGCTACGATCTGATCGCCAGGGCCGTCGCCCGTGATCGCGACTTGCCACGTATCAGAAGACAGCCAGACCCACAATGAGCTTGCGCAGGAAACGGCTGCGTGCGAGGAGGCAGGCTGGGGCGAGCGGATGCCCCACTACTGCCAAAGCCATCGTCCCAGAGAAGCCCAAGACAGCTAAGGGGCGCGCCCAAGATGGTACCAAGGTGGCCCAAGAGGGCCCTAAGGAGGCAAGAGGGCCCCGTGAACATCGCGTTGCGTGTAGCTCACTTTGGGGCTCCCTTGGGGCACTCTCGGGTCGCATCCGCGGCCCCTTCGAGGCCTTCCTGGAGTTCTCCTGGGCCGTCTCTGGCCCGTCGTTCGCGCGAGGCGCGAGGGGGGGGGGGGGGGGGATGTTCCACCTTCCCAGGGGAACCTGGAACGCATGCTCCAACTTCCCGGGGGGACTTGGAACACGCGGCCCTTCTCTCCACATATTGATTTGCGGAGGCCCTGTGTTCCACCCCCTGGGAAAGTGGAACATGTGTTCGAGATTCCCCTGGGAAGGTAGACACGGGTTCTCCGGGGCTCTGAGCCCCCGGAGAGCGCCCGGCAAAATGCTGGCCTGTGATGACATTGCTACTCGTGTCGCATGCTAGCCACGCATGTTGTTGTTTTTCCCGATGAGTTGCCGCCCCCCGCCAGCGTATTCTTCCTGCAACCGATGCCTCAACACTGCGCCTGCTGAGTTCCTCTCGGGTATCCGAATGTCCTGCATACTACGCGCAAGGCCTCCCCAGTCGAAGTCCCTGGAACGTTTGAGCAGCTGCAGTTGGCATAGACTCGCACAGAGCCCCTAAGGCAGTTGCAACGTACTTGCGAATTCCGCATAGAGGACGCCCTTCACCATGCATAGCGTCACGATCCACCCGCAGCCCCGCGCCTCGGACCCGCAGGAGGCTCAGAGTGGTTGGCCTGGTACTTCGCCTCGAGCTCCAAAGCGATCTGGTCGACATGAGCCTGGAAGTTTCTCTGAGTGGGGCTCGCAGCCTCGCTCTTGGTCACCCACTTATGCGCCTCCTGGCTGTGCCAACGGGCGCGCAGGGACTTGCAGCTGGGGGCCCAGTGGACGTGCGGCTCCTTCACTACAGGCCGTTCGTCAACTCCGTCGGCAGGCTTTGACTCCAGATTGCAGTGAAGTAAGTTGATAGTGTCTGCGGAGAGCTCGACCCGCAGCCTGTTCCTGCGCTGCGAGCACGTCATGACGTTGACGAACTTCAGGCCCCCAACGCACTGTATCGCAACTGTGGTCCAGGGCTGGATCTCATCGTGCGACTCCTTCCTGGGGCGCTTCGTGAGCGGTGGCGCTGGATCGCCACTCCCACGAGGTGCAGCAGACACGTCGCTGTAGGTATTTGAAGACTTCTCCTCAATAGTGGCCATCATCCCGTCGACTGCCTAGTTCCGTTTCGAGGCCAACGCGTCGACGACATCGAGCTCGTTGTTCAAAAAATGATGAACTGTTTGTCTGTTTCGTCGAGGACAACAAACTTGCGGCCGTCGGCCATGCACGTCAATGACATCCACGACGTCGCGTCGGGGACCTGCCCCATGGCAATCAGTGCGAAACCCACGCTGATGACAGCCATCGTGTAGTCTGGAGGGTATCCCGCTGCAGACCTTGAGCTCAAATGGCTGCGGAGATCTGCACAGGGAGCACGTGTTTGTATAGGCTTATTTCTGGTAGTGGGCGTGACCCTCGTCAAGTTTTACTTTGGGCGTGGCTCGTAGTCGCACTGGCATGACCTTCTCAGCGTCATTCCGGTCCTCCCCCCTCCTCTTCCCCGACCCCTCTTCCCCCAGCGCTTCTCCTCCTTCTCCTCCTCAGCATGTACCTCCGCCCCCTCTCCTTCTCTGTCTTCTCTCCTCCTGCCCCTCATCGAAGCGACGCGCCGGCTGGAACAATTGTTGACTTAATGGGGCACCATCGGGACACCTCGGGGCACTGGCTGCTAGCGCGGCCATCATTGTTCGACGCACCGCGCGATTGCATCGTTTGATGCATCGGCGAACACGCCGGCAATGAACCATATCCGTTGGGATCTGCGCGCGCTTCGTGTCGGGGCCTCGTCCGCAGTCATGCCTGCAAGTGTTGGGAGGTCTATTTTGGTCAGCCTGGAGATCTCGACTTCAGTCAGTTTGGGGATGTCTGCCGTTGGTTTGCTCGGGGGTCTCTACGTCGGCCTGCTCGGAAGATCCACCATGGCCGCAGGAGGGGCGGGGATGACAGGAGGGGGGGGGTGGGGGGGCGGGCGGGGAGGAGTGGGCGCGAGAGAGGCAGGGGGGAGGGGCTGCATGGAGGGAGGAGGAGGAGGAAGGAGAAGGGGGGGGGAGGATATGGCCCCCACCCTTGCGAGCCACCGCAAACGTGAGTTCTCTTGGCGGGGGGGGGGGGGCAACAATCTTTGCGAGCTATGCGCGTCGTCAGAAGCTGCGGAGGTCACGCGCGTTAACCTCGACAGGTCGGCCCTCGGCGGCACCGTCGCGCGCGTGAATTAAGCGAGAAGGCGCGCAGATACTCGCGCGCTTGCACCTGAGCTGCTGGGCGACAAGATACCGAGTGAGGAAAGAAGGCCGAAGCGCACGAGTCCGACCCAGCTGCCAGGCGGCGCCTGGCGACTCCAAAGCTACATCTAGAGGCGAACGCAAAAGCTCCGCGCCCTCGGAGGTCGCCGCTCACGAAGCGGCATAGGCGCAGCCGACATCTTGAGGTCGAAGGGGGTAGAACAGAGATGCGATGGCTTGTGATATCTGATCTCCAGGGATCGAGGGGGAGAGCTGGAGGTGAGGATGCAGATGTCACTTGCCTGCCTTCTGCCCCTTGGCATTCGGCGCAGAGGCATCGTCGCGCGGCTGCGGGGCAACGAGGGCGGGAGCTGTCCACGGCATATCTCCTGAGGGCACAAAAAACCGAGATATACAGCGCAGGAATTGGCACGTCGTGTTGGGTCGCCAGCCCCGGCGCCTTCCCCGCAGGCACCTTGGTGTCCGGCGCAACTAGGTGCGCGTGAATGACGCCGCACTGCAGGTTGGCCCGCGTTGAATCGGGCGCAATTTTGCAACGCAAATATGCGCTCAAGAAATGGCTCGAAGAACCCTTGCCGACAATCCCTTTAGGAGGCAGTTCGACTTTGGGGGCGGGGCAAGCGCGGGCGGGCCTGTCACTGGCACCCCTGCAAGCCCAGCCCTCAACGCTCATTGACTTGGCTTGGGCCTCGCTGCTGATTGCAACGTTCGGCGTCAAAGGAATCAGCGCGAGCTCGCCTATTCTGCATTTGGCGCCGGACCTCGCTCCTACTGGCACAGCCTGCTGGCCTTGCAACTCACGCATAACTGCGACCTTGGTTGCGCTCACTCTCTCTCTCTCTCTATCTCTCTTTCTCTTACTTTCTCTTTCTCTTTCTCTTTCTCTTTCTCTTTCTCTTTCTCTTTCTCTCTCTTTTTCTCTTTCTCTTTCTCTTTCTCTTTCTCGTTCTCTTTCTCTTTCTCTCTCTCTCTCTCTCTCTCTCTCTCTCTCTCTCTCTCTCTCTCTTTCTCTCTCTCTCTCTCTCTCTCTCTCTCTCTCTCTCTCTCTCTCTCTCTCTCTCTCTCTCTCTCTCTCTCTCTCTCTCTCTCTCTCTCTCTCTCTCTCTCTCTCTCTCTCTCTCTCTCTCTCTCTCTCTCTCTCTCTCTCTCTCTCTCTCTCTCTCTCTCTCGGCGAAGGCCGAGGGGAGAGCAAGCCGTAGCATGGCCTTGGCTTGCTCGCGGGCCAGGCCCCTGCGGCCCCGGGAAAAGCGACACTTGCAAAATAATCGGGGGACGGATGAGGGGGGGCGCAATAGAGGAGGGGGCTGACGGAAGAAACAGCCATGGGGAGCGGCATGGCGGTATAGGAAGTAGCCCAGTTGTATAAAGTCATTGTTCGGAGCGCGGAGGGGGCGCATCGGGTAGGAGGGCGGAGGAGAAGGAGAGAAATGAGGGGCTTTGGATGAAGCGACTAACACTTGCACAACGACGAGAAGTCCATAATGGCGCCCGCGGCATCGGTGCCCACCTGGAACGTAGTCTCGCGCTCCGCCAACTGAAGAAAGAGGCGGGCAAGAACGCGCAAAGTAATATAGAACGCAGGGGCGCGCGCACTTGAAACTGCCGAACTATCTCTACATGCAATGCAGCACATTTCGAACACGTGCGAACGCAATCAAAGAGAACACTAGCAAACCAAACCACGGCGCCTTCCACTCGTCCAGCATCGCCGCCGCCGCCGAGACCTCGATGATGCCGTCGTCGTCGTCCTTCTGCTTGCTCTTGCGCTTGGTTGCTGTCTCGGGGCCGCTCTTGACAGTCGGCGCCAGCTCGCAGATCTCGGCAACAGTCTTGATGATATAGGTCGGATCGCCCTCTACGCGCCCCCCCTGGTCAACCTCGCGGCCCTTCTCACAGCCGAGCCTGGCGAGCTCGATCAGATTGACGCCCGAATCGGAAAAAAACTCTCGAATGCCAGCTGCGCCAACAGATGACTCGTCGATGGCATCAGGCATCGGGAATGGCAGGATGGGGGGGGATGGCATCTGGGCGACGTCTGGGGCCATCTGCAGGACGTCGCGCATGAACTCCGAGCGGACCTCCTGCAGGTCCTTGAACTCCATCAGGAATTTGCTCTTCTTCTTATGTACGAGCATGACGCCACGAATCTCCAAATCAGAAGCAAGTTTCTCGCGATCCACCCCGGGTACCTGCAGCTGGTTGACGAACTTGCGGGCATGCCTGCTCATGGTTTCGACCTCGATGCACTTTGCCTTGTTGACGCCTGAGATTTGGCTGGCGTCGGCACCTGTCAACATCTTCGCGACGTTGTCCCTGCGCATGCCGTCGGGCGCTCGAAGCGACGCCTTGAACGTGGCAGTCACGTGCTCGGGGCCTTCAAAGAACTGCGCGTTGGCTAACACCCTGAACAAGACGCCAGGAATGTCACGGCGAACTGTGGTCATAGTTCGCGTAAGCGTCTGTAACTGCTTGAGAAATCGGGCATCCGTACCGCCGCTGCACGCTGCCACGCACTCACACATGAAGCCGGCTTGCCCTACGAGGCAGGGCTGGTTCTGCTCTATGTCCTTGATGACAGACTCGTACTTGCAATCATGCAAAGGGCGAGGGTGGAAGAGCACAAAGGCTGAGGGCGGAAGAGAACATTAAGGACACGAACCTAAACACAGTGGCAAGGTATAAAGCAGCCAGGGTATTCGCACATGAGACACACTTAACCCCACGCGTGCACGGTCCTTGAACGAGCGAAGGTTGTTGATGGCCTTGGAGTGTATCTGCATCAGCGTCTGCACTTTGGTGGGGGTTCGTTACGAACCATGCCCGCTGTTCCTTCGTCGCTCAAGAACGGTCAAAGACAGGGCACCACGTCAGCGCACTGCCATTCATTCACGCACCATTGCAGACCACTACCCATGACCTCCTTGTAGCTCGGCGCAATCTGCATGATGCGATCCACTGACAACATGCCGTCCTCGGTGCACAACTCTGTGTGAGGAGACTCGCTGCCCTTCGCAGCGTTCCTGATGCCAGCAGACGTGTGGTTGCAAGTCGGACATAGAATATCCATCTCGTCGGGGTCGACCCTCGCGAAGAGGCCATCGGACCCTGAGACCAACATCATCTGGAACTCGTACTGCTCCCTACCCTTTTGGCCTGGACTGCGCTCCACTGCCCAAGCGCACGTCACCTCCGCCCAACTCCAGCCAGAGCGCAAGATGAGCAACTGCAGCTCGTGTACATCTAGGACGTCCACCCCCATGCCCTGCCTCTTCTCGGGGTGTGGCAGCGCCCTGGCTGGCTTGACGCGCCGCTTCTCGGCGAGGCCGCTCTCCAGCAGCATCTTCATGATGCGGTCAGCGATGGCCTTCTTCTGGCAGGTTCCGCTATCGCCGACTTCGCAGTCTGCAATGATTTGGTTGATGGCTGGAGCGACCGAGGGCAACGCAGCATTCACTGCGATGTCCATCTCTGCAACCGCGGCCGTTTCTGATCTCGAAAAGGGAGAAGGCCTTCAGCAAAACTTGCTTCCACTTAATCAAAACCAGGACGTCTGAAGATGAACAAATCCGTCGAAGGGTTCAATGATCCGTCCGACAACCCTATCCAGTCGATCCACGATAACAACAATCGGCCCTATCCTGGATATATCCTCCCCTGGGGTTTCAACTGCTTCGTGAACCTCACTATGGTGACAGCCCTGGAACATCAAAGTAACACCGTACCAACATCTATCCAACACCTACATAACTTACGTATTACAAACGAACCACCAACTACAAACGAACCACCAAGACGATTCCAGTCTAGGCACGCCAAGACGCTTCGCCATTGCTCGAGAGGAACAAGGACGAAAAGTAGAGCCCGACGAGGAGACGCAGGAGAGGGAGGGCGACGACAAAGGCGGCGGCGGCCCAGCGATCCGATGCCTCGATTGTTTCAGTGCGGGGTCCCAGGAACTCGAGACCCCAGCCTTTCATCCTGTGCCTACAGGGGGAACGTTCAAAAGTAACCAACAAGTCCTCGGGGGACGATTTTTCATTACTTCTGGCTCAGATGTTTGAATATTTTTTGGCTACTTTTCATTTTTCTTCCAGAATCCGCCTGTAGGCGGACAATCACGACCTAACCTGAGTCGCTGTTTGACGGTCCCAGGGCCTGGCGAGTGTGCCCTGCAGGGGCCGAAAAAACGCCGAACGGCCTCCGCCTCTTGACTTATTCGATGCGCTGTGGAGGTGCGGGGGCGACGACGACGAAGCCGACCGCCCGTCCTGCACCAGGAAGCGGTGGCCCGCGAGGGACCCGAGCACCAGGTGGAACGGCGGATCCGCCACCTCGCCGAGGTCCTCGGGCAGCTCCACCTCCGGTGGGGGAGGGCTGGCTGTGCCGGGGGAACGAGGGCCGCAGGACCATACGCTTCCCTCTCAGGGGCGGAAGGTCCCCCCGTCTGGCTGGGCAGTACACGAGCGGCCACCTCTGTGGACCGAGCAGTCAGCAGCGAGCTTCGGAATGCTCCTCATCAGGGCGTGATATGCCCGACTGGGGGGGGGCTACGGATCGCGACGTACCCAGCGGTGGTACCAGGCTCAGAAGGTCGCCCAGAAGCTGCTTGCAGGTGGCGTTTGGGCTCGATCCCGCTCCAATCCAAACGCCATCAACAGATGTCCTCGGGGGTAGATCCTGATCGAGCCCTTTCTGGATCCTAACTCCGTCCAAACGTATGCATCTGACGGAGTGGGTCCGAATCCGATGTTTCCTGGATCATGGATACGTTTATTTCGCATGGGTATCGTGACGTACCCGACTGGCCGGGCCACAGATCGTGACAAACCCGCTTTTCGGGCGCAAAGCCGAAGCCCAGCATGGACGCGCTGTGCGCCGCAAAGGGGCGGGGCAGATCGGGGCAAGCCGGGGGCGGGAGGGGCGGGGCAGGTCCGGGAAGAGGAGAGGGAGCGGGAGAAGGGGGGCTGGGCCCGCCGATCGAGTGGCTCTGGCGAGTAACAGCGGGTTAGCCGCTGTTTCACGCGGAGGGGCCGCTGCTGACCCCCTAAGACGTTTCGGCGGTCACCGCTCATTTGAGGGGAGCACCGCACGGGGGTGGATTCACAGGGGAGGAGGGGGGGCCAGAGGAAGAAGGATGGAGAAGGGCAGGGAAAGGATGAGCGGGCGAGGGGGAGGATGACATATAATATGATGATGGCAGAGAAGGGCAGGACTATGATAGTGATGATGATGACGATGATGATGCTGATGCTGATGCTGATGCTGCTGATGATGACGATGATGTTGATGATGATGATGATGATGATGATGATGATGATGATGATGATGATGATGAGGATGACGATGAGGATGACGATGAGGATGACGATGATGAGAAGGCGAGGACGAGGGAGAAAGGCAGGGAAATCATGAAATAAACATGTAATATCATGAGGCCGCCGATCAAAACAACACGGCAACAGTACGTCCGTCCATCCAAACGTCCGTCATATGATCTGTGTAATTACCGCGTGCCGCACGGGTTCTCCTCGTTATTTTCCCTCTGGCTCTCCCTTGCCCAGCACGACGAGGCGAAGGCTAGCCTTAGGTCGGGCCTGTACTCCTACATGCAGTTTTTGGAGGAATACAAAAAATGGCAACGAATACTCAAAACTAGCCGCAAATAGTCAACAAAAACATCCCCAGACCATGTTCTGCATATTTTGATTACTCCTCCTGTCGAGGGACATGCCAGACTTAAGACTAGCGTCGATGACCTCTGGGCAAGAGGGCTCAGAGCCAGGGAGTGGATCAGGAAAGGGCAGGGACAAGCGTGGGGGCAGGGAGGGGGGGGGGCGCGCGATCATTCCGCCTCGTGGACGATGCGTAATGCTCCCTCCATGCTCCTCCGGTTGTTCCTCCTTCTGTTGCTTTTCATCCGTCTCACCCCCCTCCCCTCCTCGTTCTCCATCCCCTCCTCCGTCTCAATGTTCCCTCCCTCCCTCCCAACGAGTTACCACCTCCGCCTCCTCCGCCTCTGCCCCCTGCTCCTCCTCGTACCTCTCCTCGTCCTCGCGCTGTCCCTCTGCTCCTCCATTTCTATCACGGTCACAACCAGAGCGCTCGCTAAAAACATTGGCTTGCGGCACCTCTCGATGTTGGTCCGAAATCCCTGATATTAGCATTAAGCAAACGGGCCCTGTGGGAAATGAGTGATGAACCCTGGGGCCTTCCAGTTCATTATCCTGCACCGGGCGTTGCTTCAATGGGGGGGCAATAAAAAGGCGTGAAGAAAGGTGCACCATTCGAACACCTTCGCAGCCGCAGGGGGCCCTTTTCAGGACCCTTGTCTGAAACCCTTCCAACCCCGCTTATCGCCCCCCCAACATGTCCTCTGGCCACAGTCCTGGGGCCCAGGAACAGAGCCCCAGGATTAGGTCGGCATGTCCCCCTACAGGGGGATTTGAGAAAAAGTTAAAGATACCCTATATATACGAATAAACAAAAAATTGCCCAAAAGTGGTCCCCTGAGTATTTTTACTATTTTTGAACTTTCCTGCTGTAGAGGGACAGGCCCGACTTAATGGAGGCATATGATTAAAAAAACATTTGAGGGCGGACGTTTAAAAAAATAGTTTCGCCGGCCTGGTTGGGCCCACATAAGGGGGGGAGGGGGCGCCGCCCACGGAGGGCCCCCCCAGGGCGAACAAATAAAGTTCTCCGGGGGACAATTATGGTTGCCCCCCGGGCCGTCTGGAGGGCCAGGGGGGGGCGAGGGCAGGCAATTCGGAGCGGGGGGGGTCGGCCCTTCCCTCCTCCCTCTTCCTTCCGCTCCTCCTTCCTCCCTCCTCCCTCCGGCCTCCCTCCTCCCTCAATTCCTTCTCCCTCCTCCCTCCCTCCTGTCTCCTCCCTCCTCCCTCCTCCCTCCTCCCTCCTCCCTCCCTCCCTCCTCCCTCCCTCCCTCCTTCCTCCTCCCTCCTCCTCCCCCTCCCTCTCTGTATCCCTCCCTCCCTCCCTCCTCCCTCCCTCCCTCCTCCTCCTCCCTCCCTGTCTCCTCCCTCCCTCCTTCTTCCTCCCTCCTCCCTCCCTCCTTCTTCCTCCCTCCTCCCTCCTTCTTCCTCCCTTCTCTCCTCCCTCCCTCCCTGTCGTAGTAGTCGTAGTAGTAGTAGTAGTAGTAGTAGTAGTAGTAGTAGTAGTAGTAGTAGTAGTAGTAGTAGTAGTAGTAGTAGTAGTAGTAGTAGTAGTAGTAGTAGTAGTAGTAGTAGTAGTAGTAGTAGTGGTAGTAGTCGGGGACGGGGGTAAGGAGGAGCAGGGGGGGGACGATTAAAAAAACTGTTTTTTGCCTCCCTCCTTCCTCCCTCCTCGGAGGGAGGAAGGAGGAGGAGGACGCCGCACAGGAAACGCAGTCCGCGCGCGGGCGTCCTTGCGGGCGACCGCGCGCGGACGTGCGATCCGTCAGCCTCAAACACCGCACAGGAAACGCAGGAAATGATGATGATGATGATGATGCTGCTGCTGCTGATGATGATGATGATGATGATGATGATGATGATGATGATGACACGGCGCGGCACAGCACGGGGCATCCTGCACGACACGGCACTGCACCACGCGGCACGACGCAGCAACATAACACGACGCCGCAGGCGACCGCACGGACGCGCGACACCACTTGGGCGGGAGCGAATCACTTGAATTGTTTCTTGTGGCCATCACAGTATGTGTCCACGCGACGAGCGAACAAACAAACGCTGGAGGGAAGGAGAAAGGGGGGAACGATTAAAAAATCAGTTTCGGGCCCCAGCCCTCCTCCCTCCTCCCTCCTCCCTCCCACCTCCCTCCTCCCGCCCTGCCTCGCCTCCCTCCCCCCTCCCCCCTCCCTCCCTCCTCCCTCCTCCCTAGGGAGGAGGGAGGAGAGGAGGGAGGCCTCCTCCCTCCTCCCTCCTCCCTCCTCCCTCCCTCC